TTTTTATGCAATTTTTCCTTCGCAAAACCAGGACAATACAGAAATTTGAAAATTCAATGTACCAAAATTTTCTTTTTGAAAAGTACTTGTTTCAGTACTATTGTTAACCCTTGACCTTTAACCCTTTGCCACATTACACAAAATGAAATCTTTTAATTTTAACAATATTTGATTCGAAAATGTCGATCAAAAATTGTAGCTAGTTGGGAATTATGTACATTTGTACCAAAAGTTTTGGGGGGCAAAAATTAGAAAAATATTACAAGATTCTACTAAAAAAAAATACAACCGACCATAGAATGCCATTCAGTACATGAAATAGATCAAATGTAAAACCATGGTAGCTAGCAATAACAACAAGTGTGTTTATACTTTGCTGTAGCTAGTGAGTGATTGCAGGCATACATCTGACACTCTTCTACTTTTAGTTTACTTTATTTGTTTGTTCAAAGTGTACATCTCTGTGAATAATTAATCAAATTGAGATATCGTTTGAAACAAATGATGTTCAAGTATGAAGGGATGTTGATGTTCAACATATTGTCTTTCATGTTCCTGAACACTGTCGTTAACTTATGGAGTAAACTGCATCTGGCTGTAAACATGTTTAATGATGTCTACTTTTAGCAAGAAATTATTAAAAAAAAAAACAGTACTGTAAAATACTTCACTTGGAATTAATTTTCGCTATTTTCGCTGAAGGAATGATTCAGTGAAAATGAAATCCAGTGAATATACCTTTTTTTCTATATTTTACATTCAGTGAAAATAAATTCTATACAAAACACTCAAAAAGTCTTTTCTGCAAAAATGAAATGCAAAAAAGTATTTTACAGTAGTTTGGAATAAATAAGAATTAAATTAACAGTCATTGGATGAAATACATGTATTAAAACTTGGAAATTGTGTTTGAATAACGTAACAGATAATCTTTTTGAATTATGGCGATACATCAAAAGAAAACATTAGTTAAAATGTTGACATAATGACAATAACAGTTAATGATGATGGAATCCAAGTGAGGACTCTTGTCATCTTATTCAAATTAGCGTTATGATATTACTGTTACTGCCCAAGACTCCTATGAAATGTGTCTTTTCATCTCTGTGAATGACTCATTCCATTCATTCTCAGAAGTACCTGTGAATAATAACATTGAAAAAGCAGTACGGAGGTAGATATAATAAAAGAAATGCCATTTAGCTTCTGTGGAGAGTTTTCAACTCAATACTGCTCAAGGTATTACCGACTGCAGAACATACATGTGTGACCTTTTTTGCAGACTTTTGTAGACTAAGATTTACCGTCAGTTGATTTATTGTGATTCACTGACAATTGCTTACATGCATACTGAATAGACTACAGTAGTCTTGTTTTTTTTCCACTTTATTGAGCTGATTTTCTATTACAAATCTAATCATATTGTCATTGTGTGTGAAGTAATTACTCTGTAATTACAATCATTATGTATGTACAGTGAAAAAAGAATCCTGCTGGTGCAAGCTTTCTTTGTTCGTTTTTAATTTAAAGTTTGATCGAAAAAGAAAAATGTTCAATGTATCTCAACAGCTTTACTTAACAATGTGGTATAATAACATTCAATCTAGTTCCGGTAGCGAAAATTTAATATTATATAATATTATATAATTCCATATGTTCAATTGTATAAGTATTTTGTGAGACAAAAC